TGGCTTTGCAACGCGGAATCAACATGAGCTGCAACGCGCACGCGCCATCCGACTGCATTTCAACATATAGCGTTGCCTCTGCCAGCCGGCGGCTTTCACTGCAGACCCGCTCCCAGGATGCACCTTTCAAGGCAAGCATTCTGGGAGGAGCCACGCCTGAAGCCTGAAGAATCCTGCCCCTCCCAACCAAATCCGTCAAACATCGGGCACCAGAACCCTCCTGGGGCCCATCCCAGCCAGTCCGTCTTGGATCGACTGCTGAGGGCCCCTGGCCCCGAAAGTGGAGCCGCCACCCCCGTCCCCAGCACATCTCCCTGTGGACCTCGAGACAGTGCCTCTTGCAACGGGGTAGACTGTTTTTGAGGGGAGCGGAGATACCACCAAAGCTGCAACCGTCTTCGACGAGTGCCGTACGCGGAATGTCGCTGCAGCGCAGCCTGGCGTGCCTGCACATTTCTTCCAACAGTGCCCCCTGCATATGGGGGCGGCATGGATCCCCGCCTCATCTTCCTTCTCGCCCCCCTCCCCTCCAAGGAAGGCCTGGTACCGTATCCAGTAGGGGCCGAGCCTCCATCCTGCTTGGGGGCCGCTGGGTGACGAGAGGAAACACGTGGGGAAAAAATGCGAGCACCAAGTTCCGAGCCAAATCCACGCCACGAGGAAGCAACCATGGCTACAATTTTGGCCCGGATGCCCCAGGCAAACCTGAGGGAGGAGAGGATGGAGAGGAGGAGCAGGGGGAGGAAGAGGGGGAGGAAGAGGGGGAGGAAGATGAAGGGGAACCGCCCGAAGAGGCACAAAGGACGCAATGCCACCACCCCCCACGCGGAGCAGGTGGACGCACCCACCACTGGATAAACCTACGCAGACTTTCGGAGGTCCGCGCGGATGCCCTGGGCAGGCGCTATGCCATCCGTGGCGGCGTCCCCGGCGCCGCCCCTGGAGCGCCCCGCGCTCCAACAGTAGGCATGCCGACCCCCAACTCTCCATGCTGGTGGGCTGCCGAATAGACCAAACACTCGGGGACCTACGGCGTGAGGGCGGCCATCCTTGACAGGGGTGCGTCCCACGTCCTACTGCGGTCCGGAATTCGTTGTTCGCGTGTTGCAGCGGCAGCCCCGGCGACACGCTATCCCCTGCGAGTGCATAGCGTGCCGCTCCGCTCCGCTGCGCAGGGGGGGGCGGGAAAAGCTCGGGAAGCTTGAGGCTTGTGGATTGGGAGCAGTTAGGTCTACTGCGCCGAAGCGTGGTGGGCCAGGACTGGCAGAGCGACGCGCCAACCAGAAGGTCCCCACTGCATTTGCCCCCTGGGTTGCTTTCCCCCGGATTTCCTATCGTTTCCGAGCGCTTATGACTTATCATCGCTCGGACGTCCATTTAGGAGAGGTAAAACGACATAAACATAAACTTTTGGCGCTCCGCGCGGATCTCTTGGAGTCGCGCTGGACCCCCCTCCCTGGCGCGCGGAGCGCGCCAGGGGCGGCGCCAGAGGCGCCGCCGGGGGGCCTAGGCGCGGTTCCAAGAAATCCGCGCGGACCGCCAAAAGTTTATGTTCATGTGGCATTTTCTTCTTCGACCATCATTCCCCAGTCATATTTACATTTCGTGCCACATCCATGGATCCATGGAT